ACAGCCGGGGGAGGGTGGGGCTGGGGACTCAAGGATGTGGGCTGGCGCTTCCCGGCACTGTGCACAGCAGGTTGGGGCCCCCTCCCAGCCGTCTGGTGTCCCCATGGGCAGGCTCAGACACACTGACCCAGAAGCTGTCAGAGGGACAGAAAGATCCTTTTGACTTTGTTCACAGACATGGGATAGGTGGTACCCTTGGGAGGGGTCCAAGAAAACGGCCACCTGGGTGTGGTGGGGAGAAGAGCCAGCTGCTTCCCTCAGATCCCAGGGCCTGCAAGGGAGAGCAGAGGACAGTCAGGAGGTCTGGCAGGAGGACATGCCCAAAGGTCTTCACGGGTGGGTGGAACAGAAGCAACCACTGGAAAGGAGGTTTTTCTCTCTGCCAAGATCGCAGCCGCTAGTCCCAAGTGGGAGGTCTCTAGAGCAGGGAGGCTTAGTAAACACCACCCTCAGCGAGGGAGGGATGGTGGCTTCTGGTAGGCGTCTCTAGGAAGGTACCAGGAGCCATGGTCAACCACAGTGTTGGAAATCAGAATTGGAGGCTCCCGAGCCTGAGCCTCTTCCCTCCTGTGTGAGGATGTCACCCACAGTCCTTTCTGCAAGAGCAGGGTGAGATTCTTGAAGCAGAGAGAGCCTAGTGAGCCTGGCCTGGGAGGGGCTAGGCATGGGCAGAGCAGAACCCTGAGTGATCCAATAGGCAGGACTAGGTTGAGGACCAGCTAAGGCCTGGGAGCTGCAGGGAGGGAAGGGACAGTGGACAGAGGGATGTTCTGCCGGAATGAGCAACCGAAGGGCCCTCCCCAGGCCTTGGGCAAAGTCTCTTTCCCTCTTCGATCTCAGTTTCCTCATCTGTAAAATGGGAGGGGCTCGAGGTGGCACTAAAACATTGTACCCACTGAGTGGGGAGCTGTTTAAAAATACAGATTCCCAGCTCGGCCGCTGCAGCCCAGTGATTGAGCGTCGACCCATGCACCACGAGGTTGCCTGTTCGATTCCCAGTCAGGGCCCAGACCGGGTTGCAGGCTCTATCCCCAGTAGGGGTGTGCAGGAGGCAGCTGATCGATGTTTCTTTCTCATTGATGTTTCCTTCTCAGTGATTTTCTATGTCTAACTCCCTCTCCCTTCCTCTCTCTTAACAAATAAAAGCCCTAGCCAGTTTGGAAGGCTTCCTTCGCAGCCTGGATTGAAGGCCCAGTGGATAGAGCGTCGGCCTCTGGCCCGAAGGGTCCTGGGTTTGATTCCGGTCAAGGGCACATACCTTGGTTGCTGGCTCCTCCCTGGGCCGGGCCCTGGTTGGGGCTCGTGCAGAAGGCAACCAATTGATGTGTTTCTCTCACATTGATATTTCTCTCTATCTTTCCCTCTCTCTTCCACACTCCCTAAAAATCAATGGAAAAATATCCTCTGTTAAGGATTAACTGCCGCCCCCCCCCCAAAAAAAAAATTAATTAAATAAATAAAAATCAGTAAAAATACAGATTCCCAGATGTCCCTTCAGATCTGTGAGTCAGACTCCCCTGGACTAGGGCCTGGGCATCTGGAATGTTCCACAGCTCCCCCAGGCCCAGGGTTTGGAAGCCAGTGGGTTAGATGGTTTTAAGGTTCCTCCCAGCCTTAAATTAGATCACAGCTCTAGAAGGAGCATTTTCAGGAGTGGCTGAAGGAGAGTCGCAGGAGCTGGGAGGAGAAGGAGGCTTTGGACTTAGGGCAGAATTAGGAATCCTGCCACTTAGCAGCTATGTTACTTCAGGCAAGTTACACAATCGCTCTGAGCCTGTTGCCTCTGTAAGGAGGGGAAGATAAACCATGAATCCTGGGCTGCTGTAAGGATTCAGTGGGTCGTATGTGTGGAGGTGCTTGGTAGATTGCAAATCGATGTCCACCAAGAGGGAGTGGAGGAGTGTCCTTACGTGTACCATCCTGTCCCTGAGCCAGGCCTGCAGTCTTCCTGTGGGGGACAGCGCAGGGCAGTGTGGCAGCCAGTAAGACTCTGCAGGTGTCTATGGGGGATGGACCCTGGGGATTAGGTCAGGGCCAAACACTAGGCCAGTGATGGCGAACCTATGACACGCGAACTCATTTTTTTTGGTTGATTTTTCTTTGTTAAATGGCATTTAAATATATAAAATAAATATCAAAAATATAAATCTTTGTTTTACTATGGTTGCAAATATCAAAAAATTTCTATATGTGACACGGCACCAGAGTTAAGTTAGGGTTTTTCAAAATGCTGACACGCCGAGCTAAAAAGGTTCGCCATCACTGTACTAGGCACTGTCAGGGTCTTTAAGACCCTGGTGGTAGTCAGGGCCCTTTCAGCTCCTTGCTCCCCAAGATCCCATCTCTTGGGGATCAGCCAAGGCCCTGAGTCCTCAGGCTCCCTTGAAAGTCGGACATGCCTGGATCTAAATCCCAGCTCTGCCCAAACCCGCTCAGGGAGTCAGTTGGTAAATATTTATGTAGCATCCATAGCCCAGGCCCTAGGGTTGGGATACAGCGGTAATAAACAAGACAGATGCAGTCCCTGCCCGTAAAGAGCCCACACTCCAGGGGGACACACTGCACAGCCAGTTATACAAGTAATTGATTGCAGTCGTGATAAATACTATGAAGGTGAAATAGAGAGGGCTCTGAGAGTGTTTAGCAGGTGGGCTGGGGGGCGGGGAGTCAGAAAATGTCCCTTTCCACATTCTTGTCTTCCTTCCCTCATCCCCCTTCTTGGGTCACACTTGGGTCTGGGGAGGAATAAGAGAGAGCCCATGAGGGCTCTGTGTGCTTCATGCATCCATTCAATATTTACTTGTGGGCCATGTGCTGATCAGGGTGTTGGGAGCTACACACAGAAGTGAACAGGACAGAAATCCTTGCCCTCGTGGTGCTTAAAACCTCACAGTGGGTGGTTTCCTCATCTGTAAAAATGGGGATGATAATCATATTGATCTTAGGTTTGTAGGAAGTTAGATGAGATAATCCATATGAACTGCTTAGGCCAGGGTTTGGCAACAGAGAGAGGTCCCCGAAGTATGAGCTTCTATTGTTGTTGACTCCCTGGTGTGATTGCTAAACCTCTGACCTCAGGCACTTTTCACTTTCTCTTTGCAGCTTTTATCCCAGTAATAATTAAGTCATTTTGATTATCTGATGTTTTGTCTACCCGGTCCTTGTGCAAAGTAGGCACTCCATAAATAATATGAGTGAATGATGGTACTTCATCTCTGAGCCTCCATTTCTTCATCTGCAAAATGGGGTCATTAATAGCCCCTACCTCACAGGACTGGTATGAAGAATTAAATGAAATGATGCCTGGACAGCTTTCAGCCCAGGGCCTGGCATGCAGTAGGTGCTCACTAAACCTGAGCTGCGATGGTCCTTTCCAGGCGCTGTCCACGCCCCGAGGCCTGGGCTCAGGCCGAAGTTGTTCCACGGCACCCCCAGCTGCCAGCCAGCAACTAGCAGAGCCCCCAAGCACGGGGGCCCTCTCTCTCCCAGGTCAGCCGGGTGTGTGCACTGGAGGGAGCTGCGGGGGGGTATGTGGAGGAGACCGGGCCGGTGGGCAGGTGGGCAGTGATGGGGCTGTGGCCACCAGACCATTCAGATCTCCTGTTGCCTGTCTTGTTGCCCACAGATATCTCCAGTGTGACAGCCCAGGCGGCAGAGCCGAGGGTGAGTGGCTGGGGTTCCCCTGGAACCCTGGAAATGGGGACAAGAAGGAGGGAGGCCTTGCCCTTGATAGGACTTCCTGGCCCTCTGGCAGGGGTCTGGCCCTCTTCTTCAGTTGGATCTGGAGTGGTTGCCCTGCCCTGCTCTTCTTCCCTATCAGAGGCAGGTATCCTGAGCACATAGCCAGGATCTAGAAGGGGGTGAGCTGTTACTAAGTGGAACTGGGGCTTGTGAGGGGTTCATGGTGCATGTGGTGGTTTGGGCAAAGCTGGGGGTCAACAAGCAGATGGACTTGGGGAGGGGACTTAAGAGAGGATGCAGAGGTTCACTGGGGATATGGGGAGCTGAGAGGACTTGAGTATTCAGTGAGGGACCCCCTGCCTGTCCTGCCCGGTAGGTCCTGGTCCCGGCTTCTCGCACCCTCATGTCAGCCCCGGCCCCGCCTGGTGGCCCTCGGAGGACAAGGTCAGGATGCGTGTGAAGCCCCAGGGCCTGGTGGTGACTTCCAGTGCCGTGTGCAGCTCTCCTGACTACCTCCGGGAGCCCAAGTACT